ATGCAACAACACGTCGAACACTTACGACGCGTCTTCGAGATTCTTCGACGGGAACGTTTCTACGTCAAACTATCCAATAGCGAATTCGCCCTCGAGAAAGTCCAATTCCTAGGACACATGGTGAGCGCTCAAGGAGTTCACGTCGACCCCAAGAAGATCGAAGCCTTACGCACATGGAAGACACCCGAAAACGTGAAGAAGTTGCAACAGTTCCTAGGCTTCGCTAACTATTACAACAGGTTCGTGCCACAGTACACGAAACTCGCAACACCACTCACAAATCTGCTAAAGAATAACACGCCCTATAAGTGGGAACCAAAACATCAGGAAGCCGTGGAGCAGCTGAAACAAGCACTCACGTCCGCACCAGTACTCATCTTGCCAGACCCCAAACGCGACTACGTCATCGAAGCTGACGCCAGCGACCAGGCAGTGGGAGCAGTCTTGATGCAAGACCAGGGGAATGGACTGCAACCAATTGCTTATCTCAGCAAGAAACTACACGGGGCAGAACTCAACTACCCGATACACGATAAGGAGGCCCTAGCTATCATCATCGCCTTCAAAACGTGGAGATGCTATCTTGAAGGACGCAAGACAACAGTCTACACCGACCATTGCAGCCTAAAATATTTGAAGACGCAACCAAGCCTCTCCAGGCGACAGGTTCGGTGGATCGACTTCCTCGAGATGCACTTCCACTACGGCATCGTGTACAAACCTGGACATAAAAACAAAGCTGATGCGCTTAGCCGGCCTGCACACGTTGCCGCTATTCGGATCGAAGGGATGAATCCACTACTCAAGGGACTCTTTGCATACAGGTACACCATCGACCTCGAAATTCCCTTGGCAGAGAAGCGACATCTGCTACTGTGGGACAACGACATCGCGTACCGAAAAGGATCAACGAAGATCTGGGTACCTAATTACCCTCCATTGCGCCAGTTACTACTCGAAGAATACCACAACGTCCTGTACGCGGGACACTTCGGTAGCAACAAGACACTCACCAGTATCGCCAAACACTACTACTGGCCCCACATGGCAGACAACGTACAGAAATTCGTCACCTCATGCACTACATGTCAACGGATGAAGAGCAGCAAGCAGAAAAAGGCAGGTCTACTACAGCCTCTTCCTGTCCCAGAATAGCCATGGCAAGTGGTCAGCCTAGACTTCATCACCGGGCTACCCACTACCACAAGCGGTCATGACACGATCCTCGTCGTCATTGACAAGTTCTCCAAAATGGGACACTTCATCCCAACACACACGACAGCACGCACCGAGGAGACGGCTCAACTCTTTGTTCGCTACATCGTCTCACACCCATCTCCGACCGAGACCCTAAGTTCACCAGCAAATTCTGGAAAGAACTGATGTTTCTACTCGGAACCAAACTCGCCATGTCATCTGCCTACCATCCGCAGACAGATGGACAGACCGAGCGCCTCAACCAAATTGTAGAGCAACTCCTCCGCGCAGCCTGCAAGGACGAAATCTCCAAATGGGACATGCATCTGCCCGTCCTGGAGTTTGCCTACAACAATGCTACTCACGCCGCTACTGGACAGACGCCGTTCTTCCTCTGTTACGTACGCCACCCACTCACACCTCAACAGCCAAACATACCAGCCACAGTCCAACCCGCTCATGATTTCATCACGACTATGCACAAACTTTGGGATCGGACCCACAAGCGCCTTCTCGACATTCACCAACAACAGAAGCGCCAGGCCAATCGCCACCGCACAGACCACACCATCACCGAGGGAGACCGAGTCCTACTCGACACACCCAATCTTGCCATCAACCATCTCCCATCCAAACTGCGACCTCGCTTCTGCGGGCCCTTTCTCGTTGAAGCACAGGTCACTCCTGTTACCTTCCGCTTACGCCTGCCAGCTACCTGGAAGATTCACAACGCCTTCCATGTCCAACTCTTGAAGCCCTACCGAGATCCCAACGCGATCTTCTCTGGACGCCAACCACCGCCGCCGCCGTCCGTCCTCGTCCATGATGAACCCGAATATGAGGTCGAGTCCGTGCTTGCTCACCGTCGTCGATGGAATGGCACCGTGGAGCTTCTCATCCGTTGGAAGGGTTATGATCCTTCCGAGGACAGCTGGGTCTCTGAATCCGAGATGGACCACGCTCGTCGTCCTCTTCGCGACTACCTTGTCAAGCAGGGTGTTACGTCGACCACCCAGCTTTGAGGGGGGGAAGTGTGAGAGTACGACCCCATTCCATTCTCTTCTCTTTTCCATATTCCCTTTCCATTTCATTCCTCTTTACTGGTGCGGGATGTACTGGTGCGCTCTATCTAGCGTAATCCTGTTGTAATCCCTTAAAGCCAATAGCCTCGCGTGGCTATACGCAGGGTGATTATATTTTCTAGAAGGGTCTATTCCCTTGGGATAAGATAAACCTGGTTACCTGATGTACTGTGGAAGTATAAAAGCACCTTGTACTGATCGATAGTGCAACCTTTCCTCGACACATTCGATCCTGTGAAACTCACCTTCTTCGTATCAAGTCCTTGCCCACCTACCTCTCTGCTTATTTCTAATAACCCTCGTACACCCACCCCTCATCCCACTTCTTTATAATACAACACTATATTACATCCATCATTTGACTGTCCCATAAAACATAGTCGTCCATATGGTTTCTATGACACTTCAAATAAATACCGTCATTCCTCCAATCGATGCTTGGATAGTACAGTACGTGCGAGGCCAATCGCGCCCCAGGAGCATATCGCAGCCGTCCAACGTTGTCGCCAACATCTTCATGGCGAAAGTGACTTGGCTGTCGCAATCAATGCGAACGTGTTTCACCCACTCCCGTATTGCAAGTGGCATGCCGTGTTTCACCAACCTCGTGTCAATCTCGGACTGCACATCTCTATTTGCAGTTGCAATTTCTTCGCTCTTGTCACATTGAACAGACTATGTGATGCTCCACCATCCACAAATATTTTTAATATGGTGTTGCCAAGATACCCTTCCACCAGCACAGGGCAGTCAACAGGCTCATTCTCCTTTAATCGGGTGTGGTCGATCGCATAGATCGGCACTACGAATCGGTGGGAACGGTGATCTTTGAGCGACGAAGCCTCATCAGTACGGGGCCCAACAGCTACTGATTTCTCGGCTTCCTTCCGTCGTTAGCTCGCGATTTCTGCAACTCCGGACAGTCTCGCATGATGTGCCCCGGCTGGCCACATTTATAACACCTGCCATAAAATTTGTTATGTGACGGTGCCGCGACTCCGTTGATGGATGGGTGACTGTTCTGCCCTAAAAAATGACTTCCCTCCCATAAATTCGTCCTCGACCATACACTGTTTTTGTCCCACGCCTCTGCGATCTGCTGCACCTCCAGTCGCCGGGCGGCGCATGCGAATTTTGTGCTGGACCTCCGGTTTCAGCCTTAGGATGTATCGACTTGTCTTTTCCGTCTCGTATAGATCGTCGATTTCGTCCCAGATGGCGAGGAAAGATGACGTGTACTCCAGCACAGAACCTAGTTGAAGCCATCCGTGCAACTTCACACGAGCATTTTCGCATGTGAATACATGCTCGAAGCGCCCGCGAAGCAGTGCGCCCCACTGTTGCCATGTAAGGATCTCAGCCATACCAAACAAGGATCATGTAGAAGTTTAAGCCAATCGTCGCTCCCCGTCCATCGCTTGTTGCCGGTCTGCCAGAGTCCCTCGTAACATGACATACTGTCGCCACCAACTTGATGCAGGTCCGCGTAATAAAGACACCGCCAGTTTCACGCGTGTCTTATCGTCGTTGACATCGGCGACATTGAAGAACAGTTCCATGGTGAACAGCCGCCCATTCAGCGTGGTGTGTTTTTCCAGGGGGTTGAACGGCGGGCATGGCAGGTTTTATCTTTACAACTGCCCATCGCTCGCTCGAACTGTCGTCACGTGTCGCTGACGTCGCTTGCGGTTGATGCGCGCTCGCACGATCTTCATCCATGGTAACAGGTGACTCATGACGCGTCGCACCACACGTCTGGCGAAGGCTCACATTCCCTATTTCAACGCAGCGAGCTCGAGGGCCATGGCCTCCATCTTCGCCATCATTTCACCAACCTTCGTCGTCAGTACAGAACGGATGCGCTTGCTGCCGCCTCTGACAACTCGGCTATTTGTTCAGGAGTCATATTTCTAGTACTACGGCGAGGCGGGTTATTGACCATGAATTACCCTAACTAGCTAACGTTACTAAAGTCACTACGGGCACGTGCAGCATGAGAGACGTGGAGCGCACACGACAAAGTCGGCGGAACTGAAGAAGTTCCTGCACGACCGCTAGATAGCTCTTGTCTCCTAACGTGCAAGGTCTCTCTAAAAACTACCTCACTATGGAAGCCTAAATGGGCAGGAACGTAGCTCTGATGCCAGCTGTTATGATGATATCCGGATCGGAGTCGAGTAATGCAATAGTGAGGTCGTGATTAAAGTGTGTCGAGTACAAATGAAGCACAGGGATAAATACAAGCACAGCTAGTCTAGCAAGAGTCTCGAGGAAGGCCACGAAACATACGCGAAGTGGTTTGGGGCACCTCGGGACTCGGAACTGTCGGACGCGATGCCGCGTGTAGGCTTGGGGTCTCGAACGTAGTTCGAACCTGCATTGTCGGGCCGAGCCTGGACTTCCGAAAGTCAGGGTGTACTCAATGTTAGCAAGGCTAGATAAGGATAAGGGATTTTCCTTACAGTTACACCGTTTTGCTGGCAGTGTTTGCGGCACTCAGCTAGATCTGGGGAGCGGAGAACCTCCCAACCGCCTGGGACAGTCGGCCTGTCGCTCGCCGTCAGTTGAGACTGTCAGCCGGTTCGATCCACCCAGGCTTTCCTCCCAAATGAAGTTTCAGCTGCTGAGGTTATCGGAAGGAGTGAAGTTCCCTGGGGATGGAAATTGGAATGATCGAGGAAGTGTACAACACCAGGGAGAACTGTTTGAGATCAGGGATTGTTGCTTTCGCAGGGCATCTTGCTTGGCGTGTTGTTCCAGGGAGAATCCATCCCGTCCGTGTTTCCGCAAGCTACCTAAGAGTCTTAGGATACCCCAGTAGATCCCTCAGTTGCCAAATTCCTGGGAGATCCCTAGGTCGCCCTCGGAGATCCCTGGATTCCATAGGCTGCGACCATGGCGTCGCTGGCAGCGGGGTTGCTGCGGCTGGTGCCGGTGGTGGGACCGCCGGCCGCGGCGTTGCTTATCGTGCTCAGTGATAACGCCGGCCCCATCTTCCTCGCTCTGCTCGCGATCTTCGTTTATAAATACATCAAGTCAGTAGACTCCGTGGCAAATTCGGTACCAGAACGGCTTTAGACCAACGCCATGCCGGCCGGTCTCTCTCACCAATTCGCCTTTTCCGTTTTCGAGCAAATCTTGATGTGGACTCTAGGTTCTTTGTTTGCTGGGACGAATAGCTATTGCTACAAAGTTCAGAGATTCTCGGACCATCTTCGTGGTTTGATCCGAATCTCTCTGTGTTGTCGTCTGGCTCCTCGCGAATTGGATGGGATGGGATCCCGTCAGTGGATGCGTCGTGCGCTTCATTTGCGTCCATTCTGGCCGTCATGTTTTTTTTTTTTTTTTTTTTTTTTTTTTTTTTAAATATATATTTATATGTATTTTTTTCCGGTTATTTCAGTTCTTCCTTCCGTGCGTGCCGCTTTGGACCCCTGTTCCCTCTCTTTTCCTCAGCGCGAGCTTTTTCGACGCCGAGGATAAAATCTACGGCGTGCGCGCTGACGTGGACGGCCCGGGAATCACGTACCGCCACAGCCGCTTCCACGGCCTCCTCGAGACGCCGTTCGCCGGCGCCGGCACCATTCCCGGCCTCCTCAACATGTCCGTTAAGAAGTACCGCGATCGCCGGCTGCTCGGCACCCGCCGATTAATATCCCGCGAGCTCGAGCTCGACCAGAAGTTGGGGAAGCAGGTGGAGAGATTAACTCTCGGGGACTACGAGTGGGAGTCGTACGGGCGCGTGCACGAGCGCGTGGTGGCGTTCGGCGCGGGGCTGATGGGGAGCGGCCATGGGGGGGGCGAGAAGCTGGCCATGTTTGCGGAGACGAGGGCGGAGTGGTACATTGCGATGCAGGGCGCGTTCCAGCACGGGCTCGTCGTGGTGACGGTGTACGCGTCTCTGGGGGAGGACGCGCTCGTGCACTCGCTGAACGAGGTGGGTCTTGTTGAAACGGCTTATAGCGAGGATGAGTTGTGAGAGGTTTCAAATAAGGGGGCGTTTCAGCACGGGCTCGTGGTGGTGACGGTGTATCGCTGGGGACGGACGCGCTCGTGCACTCGCTGAACGAGGTGAGTGCTGAGTCGGCTTATAACGAGGATGAGTTGTGAGAGTTTTAAACAAGGGCGCGTTTCAGCACGGGCTCGTCGGGGTGACGGTGTATGTGTCGATGGGGAGAGCAGGAGGGGGAACATAAGAAGGGTAGGGAGCGGTGCTGATGCGCTGTACTGCGGTTGTCTGTGGTGCATGACTCACGTGCAACTCACCCATGTCCTCTCACCTGCGATCATACCTTTTGACGTGCTACCCTGCTTGCTCCCTCTTGTCGCCCTCTCTTCTTCTCTTCTTCTCTTCTTCTCTTTCCCAGACCGAGGTTGCTACAGTGGTTTGTGATAGGAAACAGTTTGACAAGCTCGTTGAGGTGCACTCCCGCCTCGCTACAGTGAAGCGCGTTATAGTGATGGCGGAGCAGAAGGCTGATAACGAGACAGTCAGTAAGGAGGAGCCGCTGCCCAGCAGCGTGGGAAGCATCGCGGTGATTTCCTATGCTGACGTGGAGGCTAAAGGAGTGGAGAGCCCTGTAGAACCGAGTCTGCCCAAGTCGTCTGACCTGGCATTCATCATGTACACGTCAGGCTCCACTGGAGTTCCCAAGGTACGTCATCCCATGTGCTTCCACTCCATCCATGGCAATGGCATGCTCATCCCACACCATCCAATGCCATCCAATGCCATCCAATGCCATCCAATGCCATACCATCCCATCCCCCATCCCATCCCATGCCATGCTATCCCACCCCATCCCATCACCATCCCCTCCCTTCTCCCCTATGCATCATCCCGTTTCGCCCTCTCCCCTCTGCCGCCTGCATCCCTGGCTGCACTTCTTTCCGCCCTCTCGCCTTCTCGCATCCCTCATGCCACCCCTGGCTGCTCAGGGCGTGATGATGACCCATGGCAATCTAGTGGCAGTCTTCGCAGCAATCATGGCGCTGGTGCCCGATGCCGACCACAACGATGTGTACATTGCGTACCTTCCCCTCGCACACTCCCTTGAGCTCACTGCAGAGGTGAGGCATTCAGTTTCTTCGTCAGGCTCCTTAGAATTGTCGCGTTTTGTAGCCTGCCGGAACGATGTGTGCATCGCGTACCTCCCCCTTGTGCACTCCCTCCAGCTCTCGATTGCCACCTCACCCATTCCCCCTCTCCCCTCATCAAAATATGCCCCCTCTCCCCCCCAACCAGACTGACATGGTATCGATCGGTGCAAGCATCAGCTATGGGCTGGCCCGGTGATCGACGGGGCGGGCAAGCTCAAGGCGAGGTGTGCGGGCGATCACGTCCTCTTCCTCCCCCCCCTCTCTCCTCCCCCCCCTCTCTTTTCCTCTCCCCCCAACCAGACGGGCATGGTATCCATAGGAGCCAGCATCGGCTATGGCTCTCCCCTCACAGTGATGGATGGGGCGGGCAAGCTCAAGCCCGGGGTTAGGGGCGATTCCGACCTGGTCCTCTCCCCTCATCAACATGTGTCCTCCCCAACCCCCCCCCTCTCCTCCCCCCCCCCGCTTCTCCTCCCCCCCAAACCAGACGGGCATGGTATCCATAGGAGCCAGCATCGGCTATGGCTCGCCCCTCACAGTGATGGACGGGGCAGGCAAGCTCAAGCCGGGGGTAAGGGGGGTCATGTTGTCTCCCCCCCAACCCTTCTTCCCTAATCTCCACCCCCCAACCAGACGGGCATGGTATCCATAGGAGCCAGCATCGGCTATGGCTCGCCCCTCACAGTGATGGACGGAGCCGGCAAGCTCAAGGCCGGGGTTAGGGGCGACCTGTCCGTGCTGCGCCCCACCCTCATGGCTGCTGTGCCGGCCATTCTGGATAAGATCCGAGATGGAGTCAGGAGAAAGGTGAGAGTGGTGATGTGCGGTGGGTGTGTGGTGGTGTGCGGTGGATAGAGGTGAGTACACAGAGGGAAGGAGTAGACTGTGGTGGTTGCAGAGTGTAAGGCCCACTTTTGTGGCTGCTGTGCCGGCCATTCTGGATAAGGTCCGCGACGGGTTCAGGTGGAAGGTGAGTGCGTGGTGAGACGTGTGCGATGGATGAAAATCTATTTTGAGGCGCCTCAAAACGAGACTTCTATCACGCGGTTTTGAGGCGCCTCAAAACGAGACTTCTATCACGCGGTTTTGAGGTGCCTCAAAATGAGACGCGTGCGATGGATGAAAATGAGTTTCCAGGGAAATGGGTGCGCGCTACAGTGGTTGCAGAGTGTGGGGGTGGCACCTGTCGGCCCTAAGGCCCACTCTCAAAAGTAACCCACTTCACCACGAGAGTGTGTTGTGTTGTGGTAGCTGCTGTGTCAGTCTTCCAGGATAAGGTCCGACGTATGGCCGGAGGATTGCTCTTTCTCAGCTGTGGCGTGGTGACTGGTGGTCCATCCCGTTTTGGTGCAGGTCCCCACTGCCTCATCGCGTCTCCAGTGTGCCCTATCCCATGTCCCCTCATGCCCTATCCCATGTCCCCTCATGCCCTATCCCATGTCCCCTCATGCCCTATCCCATGTCCCCTCATGCCCTATCCCATGTCCCCTCATGCCCTATCCCATGTCCCCTCATGCCCTATCCCATGTCCCCTCATGCCCTATCCCATGTCCCCTCATGCCCTATCCCATGTCCCCTCATGCCCTATCCCATGTCCCCTCATGCCCTATCCCATGTCCCCTCATGCCCTATCCCATGTCCCCTCATGCCCTATCCCATGTCCCCTCATGCCCTATCCCATATCCCCTCATGCCCTATCCCATGTCCCCTCATGCCTGTTTCCTTCCATGCACTCGCGACACCCCACAGATGGCCTCTGCAATCCCCCACGGCGCAGCAGCTGATCCAGTTCCCCTACAGCCGTCGATTGGTGAGGCAATCAACGGCAGCTCCAAGTCCCGCCATCTCCCAGTGCCTGCTTCGGCGGAATTTGTTTTTCTCCATCCCACCCCCTCTCCTCCCCCCCCCCCCCCCCCCCCCCCTTTTCTCCCCCAGATGGCGTCACAATCCCCAACCGTTCAGCAGCTCTTCGCGCTCGCTTACAGCCGTCGATTGGCGGCGATCAACGGCAGCTGGGCGGGCGCGTGGGGCGTGGAGAAGCAGGTGTGGGACGCGCTCGTCTTCAAGCGCATCCAGGCGGCCGTGGGCGGCAGGCTGCGCTACATGCTGTCGGGTGGGGCGCCCCTGTCCCCGGACACCCAGCGGTTCATCAACGTGTGCTTCAAGTGAGTGGTTCTGCCTGTGAGTGGTTACTAAAGTAGTGTCTGCGAAACAATCTGCACAACAGGCGGTACATGCAGTCTGTGGTGGGGGGGGGGGAAGAGGGTTGACACACAGCAGCTCATCAACGCGTGCTTCAAGTGAGGGCGTGTGGCGCGACTAGAGAAGTGGTCATGAGAAAAACATTTTTGAGGCGCCTCAAAAATAGACTCCTCACACTGCGGCATACGCTGTCAAGTGGGAGGGCCACGCCGTACGCCTGTCTGTGGAGGCACAGCTGGTCATCAACGTGTGCCTCTAGTGAGAGCTGCTGTGTGCGTGTCGCTACCAGTGCGTGTACGAGAGTTCGGCACAGCAGGCTGCGGTACATGCTGTCAGGAAGAACGACAGGCGTCGCTGAGTTGCCCGACACACAGCGGTTCACTTTTGAGTCGACTGCCCGACACACAGCGGTTCATCAACGCGTGCTTTTAATGCGCGCTGCAAATGTGTGCGTGCGTGTGGTGATACTCCTTCTGATGCGAACGCTGCACGACAGGCTGCAGTACACGCTGTGCACGTACACTACCATGGCACTGTGGAGCAGCGTTCCCCCTGGCTCTCCCCCTGGCTCTCCCCCCGGTTCCCTCACTCCAGCGCAAACTCTTGCTCCCTTCACCACTTCCCTCCATCCCCTCCAGTACGATTTATCCCTTCCCTCTGCTCCCTCTGCTCCCTCGCTCCCCTTCCAACACCCTCTGCGCCACCGTGTCTCGTAACCCTCCACCGTGTCTCATAACCCTCCACTGTGTCTCGTAACCCTCCACCGTGTCTCGTAACCCTCCACCGTGTCTCGTAACCCTCCACCGTGTCTCGTAACCCTCCACCGTGCCTCGTAACCCTCCACCGTGTCTCGTAACCCTCCACCGCTCGCAGCGTTCCCATTGGCCAAGGCTACGGCCTCACAGAGACGTGCTCTGGAGGAACCTTTGCAGAATTTTCCGACACCTCTGTGGGGAGAGTTGGGCCGCCCATTCCCTGCTGCTACATCCGGGTGGGTTCCACACTGCTGCTGCTACATCCGGGTGGGTTCCATAGACCCTGAACCTTCAACTCCACACTGCTGCTGCTACAGCATGGGGCCGGGTCCCACACTGCAGTGCATTGCCGTGCCTTGCCTGTTTCCTTGGCATGCCTCATTCCGTTTTCTCACATGCCTTGTCTGTGTGTGCAAATGACTAGGCTCAGCTGTCCTAACAGCTTCTTCCCCCCTCTGGCACGTCGCTCCCTCACACATCACTTCCTCACACATCACTCCCTCCCCTTCCCCCCCCCCGCACGACCCCAACGCCAGCTGGTGTGTTGGCCGGAGGGCAACAAGTGTGTGACTGACAAAAGCCATGTTCGTGCGCTACTGCACCATGACTCATTGAATCACCCTCCCCCCCTCCCTTTCTGCATTGGGACAAGGGCAACTGCCGCATGACTGACAGGCCTTGTTACAGGGTTACCACGTCATTACTCATTCAGTCACTATCCGTTTCACCCCGCCTCCCCCCCTCGCTGCCCCCAACCCACAGCGGGTGGACTGGGAGGAGGGCAATTACCGCGTGACTGACAGGCCTTGTTTTAGGGTTACCACGTCATTACTCATTCAGTCACTATCCGTTTCACCCCGCCTCGCCCCCTCGCTGCCCCCAACCCACAGCTGGTGGACTGGGAGGAGGGCAACTACCGTGTGACTGACAGGCCGCTGCCTCGAGGGGAGATAATGATTGGCGGGTACTGCGTAACCCCGGGGTACTGGAAGAACCAGGACGCCACCGATGCTGTGTACTCGGTGAGTGTGAAAGCGGGAGAGTGTGTGTGAGTGTGTGGGTGAGTGTGCTTGCCTGGGGTTGTGAGAGAGCGGTGCTTCACTGCAAAACTCCGGGGTACTGGAGGAACCCGGAGGTGATCAATGCAGTGTACTCGGTGAGTGCGGGGTGAACAGGAGGTGGGGGCACTGGGCGCCTCGAGGGGGATCATGACTGGCACGCACTGCGTGCCCCCTGGGTACTGGAATAATCAGGAGGCCACCGATGCAGTGTACCTCAGTGAGTGTGGGGTGGAGAAGGGGGGAGTGGGTGGCGGGGTGAGGGGATTGAGTGTATGAAAACCGGGGGCAGTGCGTGCGTTGCTCCCAGTCCAGGGTGCTGGAAGAATGAAAAGGCTGGAAACAGGGGCAGTGGCCGGGCGCTGTGCACCCGCTGAGTGTGTTTGGGAAACGGGCAGGGGGGAGGGGAGCGGGGTGGGCAGATGCGTGGGGATGAAAGATTTTCAAGCTTTCCTTAACGACGCCCACTCCTCAATTGATTCAATCTCCTTTGCAGGTGGACTGCCAGCATCAGCTGGTTTGCAAGGGGTGACTTGGTGGAGGTGTATCCAGACGGCGTGTTCCAGACCCCCTTTGCCCTAAGCATGCCTTGACTGCAGGGAGGAAGGAACAACAAGCTTTTCTCTGCCTTGTTGTTCTTTCCTCCCTGTCAGGTGGCCCGCCTGGGCATCAGGTTGATTGCAACAGGATGTGAAAGTTTGAAGCGTGTCTCTACCCTTGACCTTGCTCTTTCCCTTGGTCCAAATCGTTATTTTCTCAATCTCCTTTGCAGGTGGACCGGCAGGGCATCAGGTGGTTTGGAACGGGCGATGTGGAGGAGGTGCATCCGGACAGCGTGTTCCAGGTCTAGATCATTGTCACCCCCCGCTCGTAATGAGTCGATTTTTGAGTCAACTCAAAAGTCGACTCATTACATCCAGGTCCAGATCATTGTCGCCCCACGCATGCCCCATGCATGCCTCATTCACATGTCTCTTTACCCCGCCTTCTTGTTCCTTCCCCCATGGCAGGTGGACCAGCAGGGCATCCGGTGGTTTGCAACGGGCGACGTGGGCGAGGTGCATCCGGATGGAGTGTTCCAGATCATCGACCGGAAGAAGGACATCGTGAAGCTGCAGGCCGGGGAATACGTGTCACTTGGGAAGGTGGGATGGGCAACAGCATAAGGGGTGTAATCCTGGGGATCAGGTGATCGGCATCCGGATGGCGTGTTCCTGATTCTCGTCCGGAAGGACATTGTCAAGCTGCAGGCCGGGGAATACGTGTCGCTGGGAAAGGTGAGGTGGGAGGGGGGAGGGGTAGACACAACAAGCTGGCCAAGCATGGCGTGTTCCAGATCATCCACCGTAAGAAGGACATTGTCAAGCTGCAGGCCGGGGAATACGTGTCGCTGGGAAAGGTGAGGTGGGAGGGGGGAGGGGTAGACACAACAAGCTGGCCAAGCATGGCGTGTTCCAGATCATCCACCGTAAGAAGGACATTGTCAAGCTGCAGGCCGGGGAATACGTGTCGCTGGGAAAGGTGAGGTGGGAGGGGGGAGGGGTAGACACAACAAGCTGGCCAAGCATGGCGTGTTCCAGATCATCCACCGTAAGAAGGACATTGTCAAGCTGCAGGCCGGGGAATACGTGTCGCTGGGAAAGGTGAGGTGGGAGGGGGGAGGGGTAGACACAACAAGCTGGCCAAGCATGGCGTGTTCCAGATCATCCACCGTAAGAAGGACATCGTCAAGCTGCAGGCCGGGGAATACGTGTTGCTCAGGAGGGTAGGGTGGGGAAGATGATATGGGAGAAAAGAGGGGGGTGGTAGAGAATGAGAAAGCGAAGCATGGCGTGTTCCAGATCATCGACAGGAAGGACACTGTCAAGTTGCAGTCTGGAGAATACGCGTCGCTGGGAAAGGTGGGCTGGGAGATAAGAAGGGGGGAGGAGGGGTACTTAGAACATCGAGGGTGGGGCATGGCATGTTCCAAATCACTGACAGGAGGAAGGAAATGTGAAGCTGCAGGCCGGGGAATACGTTGACCCTGGGAAAGGTGAGGTGGGGTAGGGGAAGAGAGGGGGGATTTCATAATAAAGCATGGTGTGTTTCGGATCCTCGACAGGAAGGGCATCGCAAAGCTGCAGGTAGAGGAATGCGCGTCGCTGGGACTGGTAAGGCATGGAGTGTGAGTGGGCAAAATAAGCAGGGCGGTCGTCCTCTTTGCTTGTGTGTTTTATCAGACTGCAGTTACCTTTCTTCTGTCTCCGTACTCGGTCTGTCGTTACAACAACCCAGCGGATTGAAGCTCGAGAGTGCGTCGTGTGATAGGCTGTGTTGCAAGTGAGCCGCTACGTGGATAATGTGATGCTCAATGCCGACCCCTTATACAAGCTTTCATGTACATCCAGAACACACCCAACCATCTCCCACACCCAACCAGAGCTTTCTCGTTTTCCTCCCCGTCTGATGCCTTTTATCAGGTGGAGGCGGTCCTCCAGGTGAGCTCCTACGTGGAGAACGTGATGCTGTACGCCGACCCCTTCAAGTCCTTCACCATCGCCCTCGTCGTGCCGTCCAAGCCCGCCATTCTCGCGTGGGCCAAAGCCAAGGGTGTAGACACTGCTGACTATGGCGTGCTCCTGGGAAGCCCGGATACGGTTTCGGAAGTGCTTAAGTCCCTTGTTGAGGTGAGATATTTTGTTCCAGCCAGCCATTCCCACCTGGGCCAAGTCTGTTGCTGAGGTGAGTGGATGCATTTTCTTAACCATCGGTTCATTTGAGATGAACATTTTTAGAACCAGGTGCCTCATGCTCAATGCAGGATAATTGCTGTCCCTAATCCCTTTTACCCCATGCTGGTCGTTTCTTGTGCTTTCCTTCGCAAAATCAGGTGAGCAAGGAGGGCAAGCTTGAAAAGTTTGAAGTGCCTGCGAGGATCAAGCTCCTCCAAGAGCCATGGACTCCGGAGAGTGGTCTTTTGACAGCAGCCTTGAAGCTAAAGCGGGATGTTGTTCGACGAAAGTTCCAGGAGGACCTAGATGCACTTTATGCCTAGTACGGTAGTTGAGTTGGACATGGAGTTTCTGTTCCAGGAATTACTTTTTACCGAAATACGTAATCGAACAACTGTACGTGTTGAAGTTATCAGCTCTTTGATTGGGCTGACATTATGGCGGTTCTTTTGCCATTGCGTTCGTGTGGGTTTGTTGGAGAATCATTCTTACTTGCCATCAGCCCAGCACCTCGAGTGTACGATTCCAGGCTGCAGTATTGTAGTGACCGAACGGTGTCCAATTAAAAGCTTGGTTCTTTTGTCATGCTGCCCAACATGCGATTTTGACGAACCGAGTGAGCTGTTTGTCCGCCACAGGTCTGTGGTTTGCACTGCCCCTGGCTTTTTATTGGTCTTGGGTGTCCGACTTCACCGCCGCGAGCACGGTGGCAAATCGCTCGCACCCATCGACGTATTTTTCTCCGAAGAATTCAAACTCTCGCTCTGCTCCGATTGGCTTGGCCGCCTAGGTTTCTGTGTCGGCGCCACCAATGTCGAGTTGCGTAGCGAACCTCGCGACATTTTCTGTTTCGTAGGGTTACATCATCGTGGGGTGTAGGAAGATCGCAGCCGAACGAAAGCCAGGCGACTCTGTCGCCATATCAGCTCAGCCAACTGCGACGGACCTTGCCCTCGCGACTCTGTTCCCACGTGCTCGAAAGAAACCTAGGCCACCGCTCCCTCTTCCCAGTGACCGGAGCGGAGCCAAAGCGGCAGAGCAGATCTCTGTGCGGGCGCTACACGGCAGGCGCAAGACCGGGGAAGGAATGCACGAAGAGGAGGCGAATTCCGAAGACTTTCTTCCGCACCTTCCTGTCGTCACTCGTCTCGCTTCCGCCCACCAACCCCTGCCCGCTTTCCTCCCTCTTGCGGCCCGCTCCGCGCCTCTCAGGTCAGGACACGGAGCCTAGGGTCCGGCCTGAGCCCAAAATCGCACCTGGTCAGGATCATTGAGAGGTTTCCTAAATGTTTTAGTTCGGTGCATATGGTTACATAAGTGTACAACACGGCACTCATAGAGGCTCGTAGAGTGATTTCGGGAAATCTGAGCCTAGGTTCCGCGTCATCTCCATTCCGCCTCGTCCCGCGAGGCTCTCCGCATGGTGGGTATTTCTGTCCGCCTTGGCTCGGTAGTGAAGCCAAATTGCGTGAGATACTTGATCCCGCCATTGCCAGCAGCACGTCAAAGATCGTGAGAGGCCTCTCTAGATCGCCACTTCTCACAGCTTGGAACTCGTCGCGTCTCCCTCTTCTCGCCTTCTGCTCTTGCGAACCACAGCCTCCCGACGCATCGCGAAGATAAGGAAGACGTAGAAGAGCGCGGAGAACAAGAGCGGGCTTTTCTTCGGGACTAGTTGAATCACACCTGTCGCGTCGCTCGCAAGCAACCCCTTTCAGTCGTTAATTCTCAGCATGGCTGGCTCGCCTTTCCCCCGCGTGGCGCAGGAGAACGGCCACGCGACACGGCACGGCACTCACCCCAAAGGTGCGCCTCGTCGGCCTCCAAGATCAAGTCCGCTTCCCCTGTGTGGAGATTCGTCGCGTCAAGATGTGGCACCCGCCAAATTCTTCTTGATGTTTTAGGCGCCTCACAAATCGTTTCAATATGCGGTCCCGTCCTGATTTTACGCGAGCGCTCCGCTCTTCCTCGCCTGTCGCTATTTTGTTCTCTTGGTGGTAAACCGTCCGGGTCTTGGACGGGGCTGCCAGCTTCATCGCTATATTTTCACGCTCGGAGACCCAGCTGTTCAGAAGCGAATGCTGACCGTCCGATTGCGTGTTGGATCTGTTGATGATGGCAGAGGTGTGCATCGTGGCCGCTGCTCGCACCCCCATGGGTGGCTTCATGGGGGTCCTTTCGTCGCTCCCTGCCACGCAACTCGGCTCCGTCGCCATTAAAGGTGCGCCATACCAAACCATTGAGGAATCTATTTTTTAGGCGCCTAGAAAATGGGCTGGTTCTGTCGTTCTTGTTACTTCCCCAGTGGACAACGCTCTTCCTCTTTCTCACGACACGACTTCAAGCCAGACTTCAGTCTTGCTCTAACCGACAATGTCCGGCCGTGCCCGGACCCAGCCGCTGGTGTTGATTCCTCCATAATCCCTTCATCTTTCCCTTCCCCGCGATCTTCATGTACCTTCTCGCAGAGGCCGTGCGGCGATCCGGCCTGGAGCCGGCTGACGTGGAGGAGGTGGTCATGGGAAACGTGCTCAGCGCGAATCTCGGCCAGGCGCCGGCGCGCCAGGCGTCCATGGGCGCGGGGCTGCCGGAGAGCGTCGTCGCGACGACCGTCAACAAAGTCTGCGCGTCGGGCATGAAAGGTGCGTCGGGCATGAAAGGTGCGTCGGGCATGAAAGGTGCGTAGCGATTCCTCTAGGCATGGAAGGGTTTGAGCGATTACATACAGTGCAGGAGGATGGGTGCGGAGCTGCCGGAGAGCGTCGCCGCCACCACCGTCAACAAAGTGTGCGCGTCGGGCATGAAAGGTGCGTCGGGCATGAAAGGTGCGTCGGGCATGAAAGGTGCGTCTCTGCTCCGAGGCATGCGAGGTGCTGAGAGGTAAGTTAGAGTGCAGTTGGTCGTACCGGGCAACACCAGGCGCGGACTGCGGGAGAGCGTCGTCGCGCTGGCAGCGCAGTCCATTATGCTGGGGATTAACGAGGCGGAGTGGAGGTGACTGTCGGCATGGAGAGCAAGCAGGAGCAGCGCGCCCTGTGACCCCCCTCGCACCGCCGCGCACTACCTCCCCATTGTCGACCGCCCAGGTGTTCCTCCGTGCTTCCAGCCGTCTCGCTGGCAGCGCAGTCCATAATGCAGGGGGTGGAGAGCAGAAGTAGTTGTTGCAGGCGGCATTGAGAGCACGGGCAGCGCGCCTTAGTACTTCTTCAAGGCTGTCTTACCATCCCCCTCTGCTCCCTTTCCCTCCCACACCTGCAAACCTGGCCCCCCACCAGCCATCGCGCTGGCAGCGCAGTCCATAATGCTGGGGATCAACGAGGTGGTGGTGGCGGGCGGCATGGAGAGCATGAGCAACGCGCCCTACTACCTCTCCAAGGCGCGCGGCGGCTACCGCTTCGGCAATGCCGAGATTATGGACGGCATGCAGCGCGACGGGCTGTGCGACGCGTACGCCGACGACCCCATGGGGTGCTTCGCGGAAACCTGCGCGGAGGAGTATAACATCTCGCGCGCGGACCAGGATGACCACGCGGTTCGCACGCACGAGCGCGCCGCGGCGGCGAACGCGGAGGGCGCGTTCGAGTGGGAGATAGTGCCAGTGGAGGTGAAGGGGGGGAAGGGGCGGCCGGCGGTGATTGTGGACCGCGACGAGGCGTGCGCCAAGTTCGACGAGAAGAAGCTCCGAAATCTGCGGCCGTGCTTTAAGGAGCACGGGACGGTGACAGCGGGGAATGCGTCGGCGATTAGCGACGGCGCCGCGGCCGTGGTGCTGGTGAGCCGCGGCAAGGCGGACAGCCTCGGGCTGAAGGTGCTGGCCGTGATTCGCGGCTTCGCGGATGCAGAGCAGGTGAGAGGCGACTGGGAAGGTGGTGTTGTGAGGGTCTGAGAGACATGAGGCATGGTGGAAATGGGTGGAAGCTGGTGGGAGACGGTGGGAGACGGTGGGGGATGGTGGGAGACGGTGGGGGATGGTGGGAGATGGTGGGGAATGGTGGGAGACGGTGGGGGATGGTCATTCTGCACCCCCTCTCCTGCTCAGGAATTTCTCAGAATCGCCTAAGCCTTCTCTTTCCTGTTATTTCTTCCCGTGTGTCTCTTCCAGGCGCCTGACCGCTTCACTACGGCCCCTGCGCTGGCCATCCCCCGTGCCTTGAAACACGCGCGCATCGACCCCGCTGAGGTGGACTGCTGGGAGATCAACGAAGCCTTCTCCGTACGTGCTGCTGCCCCCACCCCCCTCTCCCTCTCCCTCTCCCTCTCCCTCTCCCTCCTCCTCGTCCTCTGTCTTCTCTCTGGATGGGCCTGTTGCCACTCTCACAAGCCTTCCTTCGTCTACCCCCTCCCCTCCCATCTCCTCCCCTCCCCCTTGCTCTCGCATCCCTCTCTACCCCGACTGCTTCACTCGCGCTTCAACCCTCCTGCTGCCCTATTCCCCCCGCATGCCACCTCATTCCCCTCCCCAGGTGGTGGCGCTGGCCAATCAGAAGCTCCTAAGCGTCCCTGAGGACCGCTTGAACGTGCATGGGGGGGCGGTGGCGCTGGGCCACCCGCTGGGGTGCAGCGGGGCGCGCATCATCGTCACTCTCTTGGGGGTAGGTGGCAGTGGTGGTAGTGGTGGTAGTGATGGGAGGGGTGGTTTTAGTGGGTGGGGTTTTTCTGTTGGCTATTTGCATATCGGGCCATGTCTGTTTCTTTTAAAGCGCCCACGTTGGTGTGCTTACCTGTATCTTTTACCTCTTTTTACCACCCGTGTGTGTGTCTCCACCAATCAGGTGCTGCGGCGCAAAGGAGGGCAGATAGGCGTGGCTGGAGTGTGCAACGGCGGCGGTGGAGCGTCGGCCATGGTCATCGAGGCCGAGTAAGCACTCTCTCCCTTTCTCCCTCTTCTCCTCGCCCGGTGTCCTCTCTCTTTCTCGCCCCTCCCTCCTCTGGTGGAACATCCGCCATGGTAATTGAGGCAGAGTAAGCCATTCACCCTTGCCTTACCTCCACGTTTTCATACTCTCTCTCCCTCCTCTTGCACTCCCACCCCGTTCTCTTAATCCCAACCACGTATTCTTCCACCCACCCTTCACCCTGTATGTGTTCTTCTGGCACTCAATATGTCTGCTGTGCGTGGCGCCTATCGCTGCCTGCCTCTGCTCTGCGCAGGTCCTTGGATCACAGCAGTGCCCATGCGCACCTCTGAATCAGAGTTCTCATCCAGGAGAATTCCCAGTGCAGCAGAACCTTCTTGAAGACAGCAAATTAGTCATTTGCTAGAGTGGTGGTGTGTTTTTAACTTCAGGCTCATGCTAGTTCGCCTTTTGTGGTTTGCTCCTGTGAGCTGTTGAGGCCTCTCAATAGGGTGCCTCTTGTGTGGTGCTCCCTTGAGCCTCCTCAACAGCACACCCCTTTGCATGCTGTTTCCTTTTAGCTCTGCTTTGGCATTGCATTCACTCTCAGTTGGTGCTTGCCATAAATTGTACTACTATGATTCAGACTATTAAGTCTCATTTAATGCTCTTTTTAGATGATGTAGCAATGCAGTACATAGGGTAAATAGTACCGGATGCTTTATGTAGTTCATATCTTTTTTTGGGTGGCAGATTGAGGAGAACTACTGCGCGTCGTCATATGTACAGTAAGAGTAATTCTGAAGCCCGTGTCTGACACTACTGTCAGACGGGAACACCCGAGGTGGAAAATACTGCCTTGGGCAATCCCGAGCCTGACGGCTGTTTTACTGAAATCTCACGTTTAGCTGACAAAATTAGCGGCAGGCTAGTGGCACGTTTGGAAATTCGTCCGCCACTCTTCGACTCGCAATCAATGTCATAAAGTCACTATTCGTTTTCGCTTTCGCTTTCGCTTTAATACTTGACCATCAGAATCACGAGACCCAAAGCTGGGCCCGCGTCTCCTTCGGCTGCGGGTCAGCCTCGGGTCAGGCCCGAGGCGCAGAATTAGCTCTAAGGGCGGGGTACATGACCCCCAAGGTCGGGTTCGAGGTAAGGTTCGCGGAGGCAAACTTCACGCTACAGTAATCCCATCTACCACAGACAGCGGCAATGTGAAAAAATTGGCAGCCCTAACCACATGTAACCCTGGGGCAAATTTGCCTCTAGGGTGAGGGTTGCCTGCTTCTGGTACAGTACGTGGGGGTTGCGGGAAACCCCCAAGCCTCCAAATCAGGACCGCTCTGGCTGCCCAACCGTGAGGGCCGGCCTTTTGGCCGCAAACCCCAAAGACGATGTCGTGTACCGCGCCCTAAGATCACAACAAACTTATTGCAGCGCTAACTTCGAGGAGAATCACATGACGTCATCGACCCAGCTTCCTCTCTCCTGCCCAAGCTCCGCTGGAACATTTGCCATGCATTCCCGCCATCGGTTGAGTGGAGCTCACCAGTCATCTGACGGTCCAAAATTGTTGGTGGCGCCGTTTACGAAAAAACACTGCGGACCCCTGGCCTGCGATTTCGCTATCATAGAGTTACGGGGAAACTGAGCTCTTGTGCAATCGCGAGTGGTGTGTCAGAGCGAATCGCTGGTATTCCTGGTAGCTGAAGGCAAGGCTGTCATTTGCTCATCGGGATTTGCTCCTCTGTGTATCTCCTGGTGGTGTGATCCCCCATGTTTCATGCGACCAACTCCAAATCCTCGCTGTCATCATTCCCACAAAACATTCTACGCATTACATTTTGCAGCCGACGAACAGTCTACCTCCATCCTGGCGGGTCCAGCACTTCGTGCGAGATTTTAGAGAGCTCTCGAAAATCTCTCACACGAATCTAGCCCGTTGAGCGTCTTATTCTCGAGTCATAAGTTGTACAGCTTACTGCTCTGTCTCTACCTGTGATGCGTTCGTTCATGAACCAGACTAGGGCTAGTTCTTCTTTTCTCCTGTGTGCGCCACTGTACAACGAATATCCGTCATTCTTGGACGTCCAAAGCCGCTTCGTCACGCGTTTTAACGATCTCGTGATTACAACCATACGCTGTGCGAGCCTACACACAAGCCACCAATCACCGGACAGACATGTCGAACCTACTAGGTCCGCCCGCCTCGACGTTTTCGTCGCCGCCCTTCCAAAGCGCACCTTGGGATTCCATTTTCCCGCCCGAACCGGGATGCACGAATCCCCCCTCAGACGCGACCCTCGTCGCCTCGTCCCCGGCTCCAGATTCCACCGTACCTTTCGCTCAGGGGACGCTGAACCCCTGCTCTTCCGTACCTTTGGCTGCTCCTTTTTCCGCGTCGTATCAAGTCGACGTCGAGGCTGAAACGACGGGGCTCCCGCGCACTCTAGATCCTTCCGGCGCGACCTTTCTGCCGGGTTTTAGTGTTCAGTTGGGCCCCGCTGCTGATGATCTCGTCCGCCAGCAGGCGGGATCGGGTCAGGCCGGAGATGGCACTGGAGCCGCCATGGGAGTCGCCATGGCAAGCACGGACCAGCCACGTCAGCCGGTACCCGCCAGTTCCGCGTGCCACGTCAGCAGCGCAGATTCGGGGCTTGACTGGGACCTAGTGCAGTACCTCTTGGAGGACGGAGGGGAGGCGCATGAGAAGGCCGAGACGGGCGAGACGGGCGAGACGGGCGAGACGGGCGAGACGGGCGAGACGGGCGAGACGGGCGAGACGGGTGATGGGAGAGGGGGGAGGGGGAAGGGCGGCGGAGGGCAAGGGGGGGAGAGGGCCGATACAAGGATTGCTGGGGCTCAGGCGACCGGACCCCCTCCTCTGGGTCAACCCCACTTTCCGCCTCTCCCCTCCGCCTCCTCTCGTTTCTCCCCCCTGATCTCTACTTCTGGGGGGGAGGGCGGGCCCGTCCTAACTTCTGACCTCCTTCCTGCTCCCCCTTCCGCTTCCCCCTGTCTCTCCTCCGCTTTGCCCGCCTTTGCCGGGGACGGCGGGCCTGTCTTCCTCCCCGCGTGCCCGGACGGCTGCGATTGCGCGGGCTGCCAGCTGATGCATTCCCATTGGTTCGAGCAATTCTCCACCGCGCCATGTTCGGGGGGAGGGAGGGATGGCGGATGGGATGCGCGGAAAGGGGACGAGGCGGAGACAAGCGTTGCGGGTGGAGCAGCACAGATGCCGCGGATGGATGGAAGAGGGGCGGAAGCAGAGGGGGGATCAGAGGCGGGAACAGAGATGCTTGTTAGCTTAGAGCGGCAAGATAGAGGGCGGGGACAGGTGCTAATAGGGGGAGATTTGAGGGGAGGGGCAGATGCGGGTGGAGGTAGCAACTCAACGCCGTGCATGGGGCGGCGCAGTGGCATGTTGGGAGGCGGCGCAACAGTGTCGATAGCGCTGCCCTCCCTTGCGCCTTCTTTTCCGCCCTCCCACCCACCTGCCTTCACACCTTCCTCTGAGATGTCCTTCCCCGGTCCGCATCGCAAGAGACCCCTGCTGCTCGCTCCGCCCGTGACTGCCGCTACCACCGCACAGGGCGCTGCAACAACGGTTCCTGCTAAACTGACTGCTTCAGGAGCCGTTGGTCCTCCCAAGCCACTTACCAGAAAGGCGACCAGCAGCGCTTTGGCTGCTAGCGCTGCTGCCAGCCACGCTAGTGCCCTTGCTGGCACTCGCCGGCCAGCGGACATGTCTGCCAGGCTGGCACAGCTGCTGGAGGATATCAAGTCTCCATGCCGGGCGGCAGCAGGCCCCATGTCAGCCACGATCACAGCTGCGGTTGGCGCCGGCAGTGGGGCTTTGATTCGCCGACCTGTTATTCGCCAGGTGGCAGCACGGAAGAGGGCGAACCAACCTCCTACCAGGCTCAAAAGCACTTCCAGCAGCGAAGACAGCAAGAGTGGCAGCGGCAGTGGCAGCGGCAGTGGCAGTGGTAGTGGTAGTGGTGGCGCCTCTACCTCCCCTTCCTCCTCCCTTGCTCTCGTCACCACCCACTGCTACACCTCTCGACCTGCAGCTGCCGCCTTTGCCCCCATTCTAGGCACACAAAGCCAAGCCCCCGGGTCGCTGAGCCACACGTGCCCGTCTATCTCACCCCCCTCGGTGGCGGGAAGCAGACCTCTAGACCCTCTATCCCACCCGTCGGCCCCACCCTATCCCACGGTCTTCCCTCACTTCAATCTTGCCTGGGCGCCCTCTCTGACTTCCCCGCCCTCTCCTCACTCCCCCCCTTTCCACTTCGGACTTAACTCTTACCCTCACCCCCACCCAAGCCAGAGTAACTTTTTCCATGCAGCCCCGAACGGTGTTTCCCAGTGGCCTGACCAATACCAGCCGAGCCAGCACTTTCTGCTGCCCGCAAACTCTCCTGCCACGTGGCAGGATGGTACTGGCTGGCCAGTGCAGTCAAGCAGGGCGGCATCACCTCCCAGCGCAGGTTCCAGGAAGCGGAGAGCGGGCTCCAGACAGGCTGATGACGCCAGCATGGTTGGGGGGAGGTGCGAGGGACAAGAGAAGGGGGGAGCAGCGGAGATGGGGAGGTTAGGGCAGGAAGTGCAGCAGAGGCAAGGGGGAGCCGTGGGGATGATTGGTGCAGATTCAGACATGCGTAGAGGGGAGGCAGGGGCCGTGGGCGGAGCAGCACAAGGGGCAGCACAAGGGGCAGGGGAAAGGGCAGGGGCAGGTTTGCTGCCGTGTTCTGGGCTGGATGATGGTATGCTGGGGGGGATGGGGCTAGATGCATCGGCGCTTGGGCGAATGGGGGTGAGCCCTGGTATGCTGGCAGGGATGGGGGTGGATGCAGGCGTGCTGAGGGGTATGGGGGTGGACATGGGCGTGCTCCAGCGGATGGGTGTGGATGAGGGGGCGCTGCAGGGCATGGGGTTCAGCCCTGACTTGCTGCAGCACCTCGGCCTAGGAGGTGCTGCTAGTGTTAGTTGTGGCGGTGCTGGAAGTGCTGGTGGTGGTGGTAGTGGTGGTGATTCTGCTAGTGCTGCTGCTGCGTGCACCACCGATGCTGTTGGTGGGGCTGGTAGCAATGGGGAGTGGAGGGAGGAGGAGGAGGAGGAGGTGGAGAAGGAGGAGGAGGAGGAGGAGAGGAGTGGGAGGGAAGGGGAGGGTGAAATGCCGATGGCAGTGGTGCGGCAAAGGCTGGAGGAATTGGCAGAGGCGATGGCAGCACAGGACGAGGTATGGCGGGATGGTGGCAGGTCGAGGTATAGCACAGGTGCTATATTGTGTTACGTCATGCCCTACAGTGTTACATCACACGTTGACTTAGGTCACAATGAGACCTATTAGTCGAAGTAACGCTTGCGAAATAATATTACCCTCAAGCCATCTCCTTCCCCGCCCCTTTTCCCCACTCCCCAGCCCCTATCCCACCGTCTCTTGGGTCCCCTGCGTCTCTTGGGTCCCCTGCGTCTCTTGGGTCCCCTGCGTCTCTTGGGTCCCCTGCGTCTCTTGGGTCCCCTGCGTCTCTTGGCTCCCCTGCGTCTCTTGGGTCCCCTGCGTCTCTTGGGTCCCCTGCGTCTCTTGGGTCCCCTGCGTCTCTTGGGTCCCCTGCGTCTCTTGGGTCCCCTGCGTCTCTTGGGTCCCCTGCGTCTCTTGGGTCCCCTGCGTCTCTTGGCTCCCCTGCGTCTCTTGGGTCCCCTGCGTCTCTTGGCTCCCCTGCGTCTCTTGGGTCCCCTGCGTCTCTTGGCTCCCCTCCGTCTCTTGGCTCCCCTGCGTCTCTTGGCTCCCCTGCGTCTCTTGGATCCCCTGCGTCTCTTGGCTCACCTGAGTCTCTTGGCTTCCCTGCGTCTCTTGGCTCCCCTGCATCTCGCAGCACCCCTGCGTATCATTCCCTCCTACGTCTCTTTCCACATCAACGAGCGCCGCAGTTGCCCGCTTCACCTTCACCTTCCTTCAGCCCCATTCCCCATTCCCCATTCCCCACTCCCCATTCCCCATTCCCCATTCCCCATTCCCCATTCCCCATTCCCCACTCCCCATTCCCCATTCCCCATTCCCCACTCCCCATTCCCCACTCCCCATTCCCCACTCCTAATTCCCCATTCCCCACTCGGGTAGCCGGCCACATCACCACAACCCATCCCCCTCCCTGCTCCTTTTCGCCCTTCCCCCACCCCCCGCGCAGAGCAGTACAACCGCGGGCTCAACGCATCGGCGCAGGAGATAGCAGAGTGGTGCTTTTCAGCGCTGCCGTACCTCGACCTGGGCCACATCCATCCCTCCCCTACCCCCTTGCCCCTTCTGCCCCCTGCGATGGTTGCACAGCCCCTATCGCGCCGTCTGCTGGCGCACCTGCGCCCAGTGATCAACGAAAAGGGCACTGCAGCGCAGAGGGTAGCCGCGCACTTCACCCAGGCCCTGCTAGCCCGACAGGCAGGCTGCGGCGCGGAGCAGTACAACCGCGGGCTGAACGCGTCAGCGCAGGAGATAGCATCGGCCATGGAGCGGTGCTTCTCGGCGCTGCCGTATCTCGACTTCTGCCACATCTCCGCCATGAGACCGCTGCTCGCTGCAGTGCACGGCAGCCGTCGGATCCACATCATCGTGTTTGGGTTCTGGATGGGGCGGTACTGGCTGGAGCTGCTGCAGGTGAGGCTGCTGCTGTGCTGATCCATGCTGGTCAATGGCGGTCAATGGCGGTCAATGGCGGTCAATGCTGGTCAATGTGCATCATTTCCAGCTCCATCAGGAACGTGCTTGGGTTCTGTCTGGAGCTGCTGAAGTGGCTGCTGCTGTGGTGCAACAAGGCTGGTTATTGTTGGTCAATGCAGGTCAATGCAGATGCATGCAGGTCAGTGCAGATACGTGCAGGTCAATGCAGATGCATGCAGGTCAGTGCAGATCCATGCAGGTCAATGCAGATGCATGCAGGTCAGTGCAGATCCATGCAGGTCAATGCAGGTGCATGCAGGTCAGTGCAGATCCTTGCTGGTCAATGCAGGTTAATGCAGGTCAATGCAGGTCAATGCAGATGCATGCACGTCAACGCAGGTCAACGCAGGTCGATGCGGGAGGGCCTCTATGCCTCCGAATAACCGGCATTGACATCAAATGGAAGAGTTGTTAGCCATGATAGAAGGGAGCAAGCAAATGGAAGAGTTGTTAGCCATGATAGAAGGGAGCAAGCAAATGGAAGAACACGCTCATGCAATCCGAGTCCTGTGCTTCTTTCTTTCTCTCTCCCTGCTCTCTCGCCTCCGTTCCCTCCCTCAAACCCTACCTGCCTTCCCTCCCCCTCTGCTGCTCTCACCTCCCCCCTCTGCTGCTCTCACCTCCCCCCTCTGCTGCTCTCACCTCCCCCCTCTGCTGCTCTCACCTCCCCCCCCTGCTGCTCTCACCTCTCCCCTCTGCTGCTCTCACCTCCCCCCTCTGCTGCTCTCACCTCCGCCCTCTGCTGCTCTCACCTCCCCCCTCTGCTGCTCTCACCTCCCCCCTCTGCTACTCTCACCTCCGCCCTCTGCTGCTCTCACCTCCCCCCTCTGCTGCTCTCACCTCCCCCCTCTGCTGCTCTCACCTCCCCCCTCTGCTGCTCTCACCTCCCCCCTCTACTGCCACCTCTTCCCCTCTGCTTCCTGCCTTCCCCTCTGCTCCCGCCCTTCCCTCAGGCCCTAGCTGCTTTCCCCAGTGGGCCGCCCTCTCTCAGAATAACCGGCGTTGACATCACATGCCGCAACGAGCTCACCGACTCCAAGTCCTCCGCTGCCTTCTCTGGCCGCCTGCTCTCCCGCGCTGCAGCGGCCCTCGCCATCCCCTTCCGCTTCAAAGCTGTGGTGCTCCCGGTGGGCCCCGCCGCTGCTGCCACACCGCTGCCAGGGAGGGCTGGGGGGGGCGGAGGGGGAAGCGGAGGGGGGAGCGTAGGGGGGATTGGGGGAGGGTTTGGGGGAGGGATTGGGGGAGGGTTTGGGGGAGGGTTTGGAGGGGTTTCTGTGGGCGGGGGAGGGGGTTTTGGGGGGGCGATGGGGATGCGGTCGGTGGTGGCAGCGTTGGAGGAGGAGGTTGAGGTGGAGGAGGGCGAGGCGACGGTGGTGCAGTGCAACATGAGCCTTCTATTCCTGGCCGATGACTCTGTGCTGCGGTCGAACCCGAGGGATGCGCTGCTGAGGGTGAGTGCTGGTTGAAGTAGATGAGCCCACATGTCAAGATGGGGGGGCCCAACATGAGCCTGCTGTTCCTCGCGGATGACTCGGTCTTGCGGTCGAACCCTAGAGATACTCTCCTGAGAGTGAGTGCTTGTTGAGTTAGATACGCCCTGGGTGGCAGTGGTGCAGTGCAACATGAGCCTGCTTTTCCTGGCGGATGACTCCGTGCTGCGGTCTAACCCAAGGGATGTGCTGTTGATGGTGAGTGCTGGTTGAAGTAGATGAGCCCATACATTAAAGCGGTTGACCCATAATGCAGATGAACCGGTAGAGTGTCAGTCAACGGGCTGCGAAGTAGAGCGAGCTGTTGGCGAGAGTGCAAAAAGGGCAGGAAGCCGAGCGGGAAAAACGTGCAGGCAAAGAACGAAGATGGGCAGCCAGCGCAAAGCACCCGTGGGAACATGCATGGGAGCGGGGGACAAGGGAAGGGCTGCGCAGGGAAAACGAGAGACTAGCGGGGAAGGGGGGAAAACACAGCAGAAGTTTGTTTTTGCAGATTTGAATTGCAGACTCGAGAGGGGCGCAGGGGGAAACGGGGGGGGCAGCACAAACAAAAGTTGCAAATTGCAGACACAAGGCGGGACAAGGGGAAACGGGGGGGGGGGGGGGCGCACAAACAAAAAGTTGCGAAGTGCAGACTCAAACGGGGGGCGGGGGGAAATGGGGGTGGGGGGTCGTGAATGTAGTCAAGTACGCTTCAAAAGTCCCAAGATGCATTCTCGGTTTTTCAAGTTTGGGGGGGAACTCCCGCATCCCTTGGTCGCCAAAACTCGGGCAAGACTGGCTCACCCGGAACCCGGCTACCCTATTTTCGCCCTTCAAGATTATTAATCTTGAACGCAAAAGTATGCATTATGGGTCAATGGCTTTAAGATGAGCGGCCCTTGGTGGCAGTGCAACATGAGCCTGCTGTTCTGGCGGATGAATCTCCCTTGCTCGGTCTTACCCCAGGGAGGCGCTGCTGAGGGTGAGTGCTGTGTCTCTGCGTGGCTGTGGTGAAATGCATTGTGAGTTCCCCTCTCTTACCCCGTCATCCCCCACCCCCCTGCAGTGAATCCGCTTCCTCGCCCCTCTAGCAACCGTGATCGTTGAGATCGACGCACCCTTCAACTCGCCCTTCTGTCCCCCTCCCGCCCCCCCCCCCCTTCCCCGTCTCCCCCCTCTCCCCCCTGCAGTGGATCTGCTCCCTCGCCCCTCTAGAAACCGTCATTTTTGAGATCGACGCGCCGCTCAACTCACCCTTCTTCCCCCCTCCTCCCCCCCTCCCCCCCTCTTCCCCCTGCAGTGGATCCACTCCCACTCCCCGCAGCAACCGTGGTTATCGAGATGAGCTCACCCCTCAACTCGCCCTTCTTCCCTCTTCCCCCCCCTTTCTACCCCCTGCAGTGGATCCGCTCCCTCTCCCCTCTAGCCACTGTCATTGTTGAGATCGACGCGCCACTCAACTCGCCCTTCTTCCTGCCACGCTTCCACGCCACCCTCCGCGTCTTTTCCTCCATATTTTCCTCTCTCGACGCCGCCCTCCCCCGGGACAGCCCCCACCGCCACACGTGCGAGCGCCTCTACTTCGCCCGGGACATTGTGAATGCTGTTGCTTGTGAGGGGATTCAGAGGACGGTTCGGGCCGAGAGCCTGGAGCAGTGGCAGGCTCGGATGCACCGAGCCGGGTTTGTAGGTTTGGAAGTGGAGGAGGATGTGATGGAGGAGCTTAGGGGGGTGGTGAGGAAGGGAGGGAGGAAGTATCGGGGGTTTGAGGTGTTGCCGCAAGGGAACGGAGTAAAGTTGCTGTGGGAAGGTGTCCCAGTATTGGCTGCTTCAATGTGGGTGTAACTGGTGTGTTTTGTGCTGTTGACCCTTGGTGTGCTGACGACCGAAACAGGAGGATTGAAGGAGCATGCAAATGCATCATGGGTGGATGGATGGCGTTATGGCCTCAAACCCTCAACCTATTTGGCCTCGCTTTCTGGTCTGAGCTTACCACTATGCAGTGCAATATGTAGAACATGGCTTGGCTCACATTTGGCACCAGCTTTACGTATTGGCTTCCTTATGGCCCTCGCGTCTAAATTGAGGATCCAGACCAGGCCCTCAGATTGGTTTTAAGTCATCCTGATTGCAAAGGACTACCCGTCAGGCCTGTCGTTATCAGGGTATTTTACCCTGATTCCCTGATTTCACAGGGTATTTTTTTGCCAACCCTTAATTTTCAGGGTTGGATTTTTCTTAACCCTAGCCCCTTCAGGGTTGTATAAGTTTCTGAACACTTGGGATTTCAGGGATTGCGTTATGCCAATACTGAGTTTTCAGGGAGCAACGCGTACGAACCTTGAATGCGATTCCACGTGCCTCACAGACCTGAAATTTCGGCGATGTCCCCAATCTCTAGAAACATTACCCCCACACACACAGCAACCTACAAAAATTGGCCAAGTCCTAATTGTACAGACATTCCCCCTACACACCCCACAAAAATTGACAAATATCGGCTAAGTCCTATGGTAGACAACCCCCCCCCCCCTACACCCGCAACAACCCACAAATAATCGGCTAAGTCCTAGTAGCCAGAGTAGCACTCTCTGTCAGAAACCCAGTCACTAACCACTGGGTTAAAAGGGCTTGTTGAATAGCGGGTAAGTGCGCCCATAGCCCCCCAGGCTCTGCACCTGTGGCCCTTCCCCGAGGATCTCAAGGGCAACCCCAGCGGGTCACTCAACACCCCCCCCCCGCTGGGATAGGTGGAAGACACGAGCGCCTCTGCAGCGCTGGCACTGGGAGTTGAACCCAAGACCTTTGGCTCTGATACCATGTCAGAAACCCAGTCACTAACCACTGGGTTAAAAGGGCTTGTTGAATAGCGGGTAAGTGCGCCCATAGCCCCCCAGGCTCTGCACCTGTGGCCCTTCCCCGAGGATCTCAAGGGCAACCCCAGCGGGTCACTCAACACTCTCCTCAACAAAAAATTGTCTAAGTCCTGTTGTACAGACAGACATTCCCCCTCCCACACTCTCGCAGACATCCCCCTCGATGTCGATCCCCCGCTCACCTCCGTTTTGATTCTCGTGCCCCCTCCGTTTCGCCTCCCCCCTAAGTTTAGCCAAACTGATGTTTTCTAGCAGCATTGGTTCATTTCGGAATTTCCCCAAGGCCCCCAGTTCCAAAAAAAAAATCCACCAAATTGTGACGGTCACGATCGAACGCGATCGTTTCGACGTTTCTCAGCGGTTCATCGTTGGTCAGCCATTAACGGCTCAGATTTACGCGACCTGACCTAGTTTTCTTGCTAGCTCAGACGATTTGGGCCCATCTGGAAAAACCCCTGTAAAACCATAGCCGAGCCAGACATAACCCCGGCTTCCAGCAAGGCAGTTCTCGAATGTACCGGGCTTTGAGAGGTGTGGGGTGAGATTTGGGGGAGGGAATTGGGGAGGGCGGCTATTTTGGGCGGGGGCACACCTAACTAACAACCCACAAAAATTAGCTAAGTCTTGATAGGCAGTGATAGCACAAAAAGAAATTCACTTTTGTTATTGCCCGTGTGGTCAACTGAAAGTCCATCAAACTTCGACGGCCACGATCAATCGCGAACGTTTCGACAATTTTCAGCCGTTAGATGATCGCGTATGATTTACGTACTCAATTCGCCCATAGCGCTGCAAGCGCGGGAGGTTTCTGCCACTGCCCCATTCGCCTCGATCCCCCCCTCTCCCTCCGTTTCGCTTCCCCCCTCCCCTCCGTTTCGATACCCCCTTCCCCTCCGTTTCGCTTCTCCCATTCCCCACTACTGTATTTCGACCCCCCCCCCCCCCCCCCCCTTTTCCCTCCCCGTTTCGCTTCCTCTCTTCCCCTGAACGCGTTCGGTGAACCCTGGGATTTTCAGGGTTCCAGATTTCTGAACACTTACAAATCAGGGTAGGCATTTTTTGAAAACTGAGCCCTCAAGGTAATTTTATTTTTTTTTAGTCGACAGCTCAGGGGGGTTTTTTTTTAAACGTCAGGCCTGCTACCCGTGGTTTTTTCACTGAATTTTCAGAGGTCCCCAAATCTTTTTGCTTAGGGGTCAGGATTGTGTGGGACAAAAATGCTGAATGGACAGAGATAGATGGTTTTTTTTTCCCTGATTGACAAAATGAAGAGAAAATTGAGAAGCAAGGAACTTTACTCGAAATTATCAAGATCGTCCACATTGTCACTACTACCTACACCCCACTCTGCCTCTTCTGCTACCCCCTTTCCCTTCTTCGAGCCGTCTTGCTTGGCCTGAGGGGTGTTGTTGAAGGGCTTACGCTTCTTATAAGCGTGCCATATCTTCACCACTGCATCATAGTCCGGGTCATAGTCTAACAGTGACATGCACATGACGTCACCAAGCCTAGTATCTTTAAGGCTGCTACGCAGCTAGCTCTTAATCACATTCTGCCTAGAGAATCTGCGCTCGCACTCCACAGTGCTGAGAGGAAGCACTGCCACCGCCATCCACAGCTTCATCAGGTTCGGGTAAGAATCCTGCCAGTCAGGTGTCTTCAGCATGGCCGTGAGCCCAGCGTGAAAGCTTCGGTCGGCCTGGGGAAGAGCAGCAATGACAGGGCAGAAATGAGGCACCTCTCTCATGGCTGCACGCTTGTCAATGCCAGGAAGAATCTCCTCTGCCTCATCTGCACGATAAAGAGTAACAAGGGAGAAGAACCAGTCAAGGCACTGGGCCTTGTGTGCAGCTCTCTCCCAGTTAGGGGGCCAGAGGTTGACAGAGAAGAGGCGGCAGCCAGAGAGCTTCCCCAGATCACCCAGCCGCTCCTTCAAGTTCGACACCATGCCTGTCGCCATGGCCACACAGAGCCTCTGGCACGCGTCGTGATCGCCCTCCCCCGGATAACTGGGCAAGCGATCTTCATGCAGCACGAAGGTAAAGGAAGCCGGACGACCGTCGGAGTCGACCCCCTCAGCTGTGACCTCGCGAGAACTGCCCGGGCCGTGACGGGTGAGGAAGATGGTGAGACGGTCCTTCGGTCCCCCGCCGAAGTCTTCGGCGTCCCCATAGCGGCTCTGCAGCAGGGTTGTTGTGCGGATGATCTGCGCGTGGACGGCCGAGTACTCCAGCTGAGGTTTGGGCAGGGAAGAGGGGGAGGGGAGGAAGGGAGGGGAATGTGTATATATACAGAACCAGGGTGGTTTAATAACGACTCATTGTCACAGTAAAGAAAAACTCACCTGACGCTCCTGGAAGGACTTCTTGAGGATGTTTAGCTGCTCCAGTACGTCAACAAGGAACATGACAAGGAACCAGAAGCGGTAGCTTGTCACTATCCTGGAGATCCGGGTATTAGTCCACTCCGAGAGCATGACGACGATGGCGGGTAGAACCTTGACTAACCTAATGACAGCCTCACCGCGGGAGAGCCATCGGATGTTATGAATGCCTTGAAGTTCGAGGTTCGTCGAGGTGAAGATTTCCTGCGGGTCCAAGAAGCGCTGGTGCCATGGGCCGGATTGTCCGAAGTACTCAGCGAGCTCCTTGATGGCATCGTCAATCATCTTGAACGCTGGCAAGGATTCCGCCGCTGCTTTAGCTGCCAGTGCCTCTCTGGAGGGTGGGACAAAACGAAAAAAAATTGGTACATGTTGGGCCTTGGGAGTGGGGTAATACACATTGCACATGCGGAAACCACTAGTGCACTTAACCCGAGGTACAGTAGCGGAAAACAACAACGCTCACCTGTGCGCAATACAGTGACACGACACCAAGTGTGGAATTTGCATCCGCAGCCGCGTCACAAGGCCAGCCTTCGACCCCATCATAACAGCAGCGCCATCGGTGCTTATGCCCACGACCCGCCGGAGGTCGACACCGATGGCGTTGATGTGAGACAGGAGTAGAGCGAGCAGAGCGGCAGCGTCGACGCTCTACGACTGCTCGCTCTGCTCGCTCTACTCCTGCTGAGCGGCAGCGTTGAATGCCTACGACTGCACGTCTGTCAGCCCTGCGCCGCGTTTGCCGGCTTTCCCTATGAGTCCTGCATGCTCAAGGCACAGACTGCATTGAAACGCAGGGAATCCAGCGTCAGTCTTAACGATCATAAGCCAGGGAAGCCGCTCGGACCACCGCGTATTAAACCTGCTGAGGGCTTCGCCGTAGACATCCTTAGGCGATCGAAACTTGTCGGGTGCAGCGGTAGTGTCGTCGCCATCGCTGTCGTCATCTTCGCACATGGCTGAGGGGCGGGGCGTCGTCGGCTGACCGCGTTGGAAATTCCCCAGTGTGGATTGCCGGTATCGACCGCCAGGTTTCACGGGGGTGGCGGAACCTGGACTACAGGTAAAAGCATTAGCCAGTGATGGGCCTGGAATAGGCGCGGAATTCGGCTCGACAATACCTTGAGAAGTTGAGGCGACCGACTGCGAGGCGCATAGGGGGTTTTGTTCCGTTGGAGGGTTACGAGGAGTCTTCGGAAAACTACCTAGCGTCAAAAGGAGCATGTCAAGCCCAGTGGGGGCTTAGGCACGGTGACTGCCGCTGTCGTCGCCATCGTCGTCCAATTCCACGTCGCCTGACTCAGGCATGTGGACGGGGCTCACTAGGGTGGTCGACGAGCAGAGACACACGACGGAGTGGTTGTAAAACAACGACACTGCGGGTGGAAGGTCACGCTGGGAGTGGCTAACGCAGTGGCTGTTTCTACCGTGGGAAGAAACAGATGAAGAAGACGCAGGAGGGAAAGGGAACGATGGCGAGGCGCGAACACTTTGCCAGCCACGCACAGTTGGCTTCCTGTATTCCTGAATCTGGACCGAAAACTAGCGCAGCGCATGCGCGTCGGCGTCGAACTGGAGTGTGGTGTTGAAGCTGGGTCATCATCGCTGGCGTACGCGTGATTGGCTATTCAGGCAGCATTTATAAAGGCAACCAATCCACGCATGCAGCCAAACTGTGTGCTGGCCGACACTTTGAGAAGGACCAATGCCGTGAGGCAGCGCGGCAACATGTGACAGAGCAAGCGATGTCTGCAGGCGGGAACCTGGCAGTCAGGCCAGTCTTGTGGGGGAATATGCGCATATTGCTGTAATTCTGGGGGGGACCCGCAAATCACGCCTTTGACAAAATCAGAACCCATGCTCGATACAAGTCTGAAATTTCAGGATCCATTACAAAAAAAAACTGACCTGACAGATATCCCTTACAAAAAAACCCTGAAATTTCAGGATATGCCAAAAACAAAACCCTAGCAAATCAGATCTGGTACCCCTCAACACCCTGTT